TGCAGAAGGATTCGTTTCTGCACCACACGAGGTAATTTTTTTTTTTGCTTTGCTTTATGCCTGAATATCTGCATCGAAAGAGTTAAATTTAACTTAAATGTCTGGTTCACCATAACAATACAGCTTCTCAGATTCCGTGCATTGGTAGCCATCCACATTGTTGTACCTCAGTGAGGGGCAGAGGATGTTTTTCTTCCTTTGTCTTGTTCATGCACATTTTTAAAGATAAATGTAGACCCATTTTACCCATTTAAGGGGTTTTCACGAGCTGGTGTGAAGTGTGATAAATAACACAGAAATCTGCATTGTCGTCATCGTGACAAATTATATGCACTTCTTTGTCGGTATCCTCTGAGAACATGTGGTACTGCACAACAATAATGTTGCATCGTCTGGCACAATGGCCTACCTTAGGCAACAGTTTTAATCATCTTGTGGTAGAATAAGTAAATACTGTCACTAAAGTGTAGATGAAGTAAATTAAAACATTTGATATTTAGTTTTGTAGCCACAAGAAGAGAACTCATATTGTTTATTATTTATTTTTGTTAGCGCCACCCCAGAACCACTTTGACTTTGTTAAGAGTTTCATAGTATTTTATAACAATTAATGTGGCTGGCCTCTTGTCCTTTTGTAAGTCAGTTGTTAAACTAAACTAAAATAAAAATCACAGTTAACTGTAAGTACTGAAAGTGAAATCAGTGATTTTAAATGCAGTTTGTCCCCTCAAAAAAAGCAGAATTGACATTAGTACCATGAGCAGCACCTGTTAGTGAATTGAACATTACAGTCTCAAATGAGAAGCATTCACATGCAGGTTTGTACAAATACTGAACCACCAAAATTTAACCAGTAAAGTGTGAAGCAGCGAATAGGGGAGTGAAAATGTGCTCGAGATTAATCAGGTCAAAAATGCTTTAGTCAATACTGTGTTTTACCCTTGCTCATCTGTCACTCGTGTATTCTAAAGCAAACAAATGGAGGGCGACATATTTCTTGTTTCTTGAGTTGCAGATATACCTGAAACAGGGGAAAGGAATGGCAGCTCAGTGACACCTAAATGTACTATGCATTTCTGTAGCTTACAAACAAAGGTTTTATGGCACAATTCTTAATGGAGGAAAATATTACAGCCTCAATCAGATCAGTGAAGACAAGCTCGCTTCTTAGCTAAGAATACAATAAGAAAACCATGCAGAGGCAAAATTGCAGTGGTAATTAAGTGGCTTTTTTCTGTAATTTTTGCACCAGCAGAAAATGTCCATAAAATAAAAACATAAAATATAATGATTTCATACTGAGATAAAGAAAACGAACACAAATAACTTTATATGCTGGTAATAGGTGCAAATTCGGCAAATCCACAAGAGAGACAAAATCTCAAAGTAAAATAAACCATAAAACCAAATCTGCAAGATGAGCTCCTTCAACAAAAGTTCACTAGAAAAACAAATCATCCTAAATAATTCTCTTCATGCTTCTACACAAAAAAGCAGCGACATAAACAGTCTCTTGTCTGTCCGTGGTCCTCTGTCTGCCCCTCTTTCACTTTTTTTTTTTTTTTTTTTTTTTAAATGCCCCNNNTTGAATCCCTCTCCCTCTCCGGCATCCTCTCCATCTTTTTCCGCCTATGGCTTCTTGCACTTGCCTTTCTTCTCACGCTGCTGGAACTTCCTGAGCCTGCGCGCCCATGTGTCCCTCCACTGGATAACCAGGCTTCCTTTGTCTGCCACCACTCCGCTCTGGCCGGGAGAGTCCTCGTCATTCCCCAGCAGCAGGTACTTCTTCCCAGGCTTAATCTTGGGACACTTGCAGGCCACGTCTTTGGCGCGGACCCACAGGAACTGGTCCCCGCGGCGGATGCGGCTCTCGCCCTGCTTGTAGACGGAGATGATGTTGACGGTGAACTTCCACCACTCTCCAGCTTTGTCTGCCTTCAGGATGTGTACCTGGACGGCTGAGAAAGCGAGATAACACATTATCACTTAATGTCAGATTTCTTACATTCAACAAAAAATGTCAACCTGCTGTTGGTG